CTAAACCCTAAACCCGAAGGCACTGAAGCGAGGGGGGGGAGGGACGGGGGTGAGGGGGGGTGGGGGAGTTTTAATGATGGGGGGGAAGCGAATGAGCCCCCCAATGCAAACCTCTAAATGCTACAAACACCATAAACTCTGAATTGATCCCTACTACCTCCCGCCCATGCCCCCCCCTCCATACCTTAAACCCTAATCCTAAACACCTCAACCCGGTTTAGGGTTTAGGGTTTAGGGTTTAGGCTTTAGGGTTTCGGGAACTGGGGCCTAACTGTCCTTATAAGGGCTCCTTCGCCAAGGACTCACGTCGCAGGGGCACGGGTAGCGGCCGCGCCGCCCGCCTAGTTTAGGGGTTTAAAGGGTTCGGGGTTCGCTACCCTATACTTCCAGTACATACAATATCGGGTTCTTAGGGTTTCGGAATTAGTGTTAAGGTGTGACAGGTTTAGGGTTTTGGTTCTAGGGTTTGGCACCCTATGGCAAGTTCCCTATGGCTGAATTTCAAGCGCCAATGACAATGCGGAGACTTGTACCAAAAACATACCCGAGAAGGGCCAAGATTCCATGAATCCAAGTACGGGGTCCATCGTATGAGTATCCTGTATAGCAGGTCCTAGGAGGCTTAGAGAGGTACTTTCTTGTGATGACAACATAAAACTGAACCCTCAACATGAAAATGCCCATGATCCTTGGGGGGCCCTGCTATATTCCCTCCCCATTGCCCTCTACCCTACTCCTAAGCCCTAATTAGACCCCAAACCCTAAACCCTAAACCCATATGTATACATATATATATATAACCTTATATATATATATATGCACATCTATAAATCTAAACAAAGAAAAATACATATATATATATATGATTATTTATATTTATACACGGTGCCCCAAGAAGTGACCCATAAACCACAGAAGCGACAACATGTGCGTCAGACCATAAACACACCGTTAGGGTTTACAGGCAGGGGTTGGGGTTAGGGTCTAGGGTTTAGGGTCTATTTGGGGTTTTGTATATAAACATGCAGTCAGAACAGAGTTTCAACGGAGGCCTGTGCAAACTCTAAATCCTCGTTTCTGAGACCCCCTGCCCCTGCTGCCGTGCAGTGAAGACGGACTGCGCTGCTTGCGCGGCTCTCCTGAAGGCATTTGGGTATAGAGTGAGGGTTGAAAGATAAGGAGTATACCCCCACAGACAGGCTATGAAAGACGCGGGGCGGACGATACCTTAAAGCCTTATAACCCTACACCCTAAACCCTAAACTCTAAACCCTAAATCCTAGTCGATCCAAGCGACAGCAACTCGCTCGCCGCAGTGTTCGAGATGGCAAGGCCGCTCTCGGAGCTCGTGGCGAACATGCCTCTGAGTTGTAAGGGTTTTGGGTTTTGGGTTTAGGGTTTAGGGCTTGAAGTTCACAGCGATTCAACCCAACAAAACCCTCTAAGATTTTGAGCTGGCAGCCCCGAACTCGAAAAACGACCCAACAAATCCCTAAGTACCTTAAACTTGTATTCGAGCTTAAGGGGGTCCACCTGGATCCTCAAGCCCCGAACCCCCAACCTATCCCGAACACCTAAACCCTTAACCACTCACGCTCGCGAGCGTTTGCAGCACGTACATTGCACTCCTCCAACTTCACCCCAGCTTGTTGATATGGCATGGGGTTAATTTAGGGAATTTTCTACCTTAAATCGTAACAAGGATCCCTAAACATATTCAAGAAGTATTACTTGAGGGGTATTTCGGCTTAACCTTTCTTTGCGTTTGCTGACCGGGCAGAAGCGTACCAAATCAAATTCAAACGTTTGAGTGCCCTGCACGGCAATCGCAATGCCTAAGTAACCCTCTTTCCTAATCGTCCCGAAACCCTCATCCCCCTCATCCCCCTCATCCCCTCATCCCCTCATCCCCCTCATCCCCCTCACCCTCATCCCTCATCCCCTCAGCCCCTCATCCCCCTCATCCCCCTCATCCCCCTCATCCCCCTCAGCCCCCTCAGCCCCCTCATCCCCCTCATCCCCCGAAACCCTAAACCCTAAACCCTAAACCCTAAACCCTAAACCTCAGCCAAAACATCCAAAAAAAAACTCTGGGGGCCCAGGTGCGAAAGATCAGGTCTTGCCGCTGGCTCTCAGCGCCGAGGAGGCAAACAGCCCAGTCCTCATGGCCGAAAACATCACACCTAAAGGGTTCAGGGTTTAGGGTTCAGGGTTTGGGGTTCAGGGTTCAGGGTTCAGGGTTTAGGGTTTAGGGTTTAGGGTTTGGGGTTTGGGGTTTAGGGTTCAGGGTTCAGGGTTTAGGGTTGAGGGTTTGGGGTTTGGGGTATAGGGCTTAGGGTTGAACCCTAACACTACCGTAGAGGACCTTAACAGGAGAAAGGATTGGGGGGGGGGGGGGGGTTGAGGGCGGTAGGTAACCCGACGTGCTTCCATGTTCCTAGTGCTTGCGGGGAGGGGGGGGGGGGGGGGTGAAGGGGAGGGTTGAGGTTTAGGGGTTTCAGGTTTAGGGAAGCCCCGGTAAACCCTGAAGCCCCAGGAGCAAGCCTTCAACCACCCTGAAACTCGAAGGCCAACCCTAAACGTTCTAAGTTTTAGGAAAAACCTACGCGTACGAAGAACTCGTGGGTACATTCGGGTTCGAAGGTCAAGGGGAAGTGACCCTAAACCCTAAACCCTAAACCCTAAACCCTAAACCCTAAACCCTAAATCGACTAATTCTTAGGGCAACTTCCAGAGGCAGGTCCTCGATCCACTCCTGCACGGAGACCGTACCTCACCGGGATGACCGAGCACAAAGGGCTCCATTTAAGAGGGTTTAGGGTTTAGGGTTTAGGGTTTAGGGTTTGGGGTTTGTGAACCCTAAGAAGCCCACGTGCACCCAAAAGCCCCAAAGCCCTAAGCTCCCCCCCCCAAAGGCCCACAATGCCCAGTTCTGAGGTTTGGGTCACGGAGTTCAGACGGATGTGCTGACTCAGGTTTCTCCCTTTGTCTCGGTCTAGGCTTGCCTACGGTTTACAGCTTGGGGGTAGGGCTTGGTTTCAAGTCTTTATCCTAGGGCTAGAGGTTTTTCATTACGATTAGCACTAGTCAGTTGACGTACTATTCTGCTATGATGTTATTACTTGCTTTTCGTTCGTTTATCTGTGCATTTCATCAGTATTGCCTTTTTATCTTGTGGGTCTTCTTTTGGTTGGGGGGGGGGGGGTAGTGGTGAGTTTGTAAACCCAAAGCCCAAAGCAACAGGTTCGCGGCAGGGCCTTTGGGGGGCCTTAGGGCTTGGGGCTTCGGGCCTACTCTACTTTGAGCTGCGCTTGAGTCCATGAGACTTCAAGCAGGGTCTTAAGCGGCTCCTGCCAAGTCGGGTCATGAGAGTGTCGCGTCTCGCGAAGGCTTTCAGTTAAGGGATCGGGTGCGGGGGGGGGGCGGGGGAATCCACGGGCAGGCTTTACAGGGGTTGTGAAGCATGTAGGGGGGGGTGTACCTTAAAGAACCCGTTGTGTAGCAGACACCGGTTCGTAAGGTAGAGCATTGGGTTCGCAGAGAGAAGGCCTTTAATTATGCCCAACAAGCCATCGCAAAACATAAAGCTTTGACCAGGGACCTGAAGGCTCTACTTTTTCAGAGCCCTCCAGCCACCCCTCCACTCTGTCCGTAAGCAGCTATTGTTACAGGCTTGGGCGAAGTTTCGACTATTCACCGTCTAGGACTGAGGCCTAAAGTTTCCACTTGTAGGCTTTAGCTTAGGGTTTAGGGTTCAGGGTTTAGAACTTGGGCTTTCGGGTTTAGGGTTTGAAGCGCAACTTTCTCTCGCATTGGGCGCTCGGTTCTGCAGCTGGCGTCCCCACGGTTCTGCTACAAGCAAAGGCACGTAGTTCGTAAGGGCGTGTGGCGTCGCTGGAGCTTCAAATCCCCCCAGAATTGATGCAAAACCCTGTGCTAGGAAGTTATATTGTGAATGGTCAACGCATCGAGGAGCCTAACTAGTCTAGTCTAGAACAACCCTCACCACCACCCCCCATATGAGATATTTGGCATGGGGCATGATGAACTCTCTGCTGAGCCGCCCCCCCTACAGGACAATGCCCACCTAAGTGTCGGCACAAGCGCCCTTGTCAGCAATGGCTTCCTCCAACAGTCGTGCCGTCTCCACGTGGCCTCCCATCGACGCCCGCGTCAGAGCGACGCCACCTGAGCTTGGTCAAGGAAGTAGGGCTTCGGGCCTCGCCGAAATAGAGCTTGAAAAAAAAGGCTGAAATAAACATACTTGTATTCGGCTAGGGGGGGGGGGGGGTGAGATTCCGAACCAGCAATGAAGCGGCAAAGTCAGCAGCAGCAATTGCCGATTGGGACTTCCAAGCCACTGGCAGGGTTTGCGCCGGCCTCCAACAGCAAGCCGACCAACTTCACGTGGCCCCTCTGCGCCGCACAACCTAACAAGGAGCTTAGGGTACAACTCTATACACCGTTTGCTTGAAAAACAAAAATTCTTCCTATATTGCCCTTCTAAGGAAGAATCTTTTGTTTAGTTTTGCTTTTTTTTGGGAGGGGGGGGGGGGGTTCTAAAGCAAATGGTAGTAAACCCAGGTCTTGGGCTCAGGATTCAGGGAGCTCTGGTAAAGAGCCTGTCGCGCCTTGGAAGGTTCATGAGGGTTCAGGGCTTAAGGCTTAAGGTTTGGGGTTTGGGGCTTAGGGCTTCTAAAGCAAGGTGCTTGCTAAGCTGAGGCGAATCTTAGCTGCCGGCTTCGGCAATAACCCACATACATACATACATACATACATACATACATACATACATACGTATGTGTGTGTATGTAAATGTATATCGCAAAGCTGCAAGCGGCACCTTCTTGCATTTGCTAGAAACAAAGGTCTGTTACAGGAAGTGGGCTGTATTGGAGAACCCTTCAAGTCGTCGTGATTGACCGCATGCACAAACAAGCAGCCCTCATCCTTGCCCAACCATGCTGCAGATAGTAGCCGATATGATGAGAAATCTCCACTTATTCCTTGCCGATCCGAACCGTCCATACCCAGTTTTCGAAAGCAGCGGCACCCAAAGGTGTGTCGCCATCACGGTTACAATAGCCCTTGTCCGCACCCGCTTCCAGAAGGGCGCGTGCAACCTGGCATTGACTGAGTGCTTAACACGGTTTCTAGAACATGCTTTGCAAACAATGATGATGAACCCTATGAATATGAAAGCCCGAAGAAAAGTGTCAAGAAAAATCATGGGGACCATGGCGCTTCGCGCTTCACGTTTTTTTGAAGGTTTCAGGGGCTTGGAGTTAGGGGGGGTTAAGTGTCAAGTTCAAACGTCAAAATGCTAAAAGAACAAAGCCCAAACCTAATCAGGTAACACAGGTCCTATTTTCGAATTGAGCCCGGAATCCTAAAGCATTTACGACCCGTGATGGGTCAAGTCCTTCCAGCGGCGAGGCTACTTTTACGACGAAACTTTGATGGAGCTCGGTGCTTTATGTATTGCTTCACCGTTGAGACGGTCACAGGGTGGGGAAGGGTAGCGAGGGGGGAGGGGGGGGGGGGGGGGGGGGGGGGGGGGGGGGGGGGGGGGGGGGGGGGGGGGGGGGGGGGGGGGGGGGGGGGGGGGGGGGGGGGGGGGGGTGGGTTCGGCGAAGGGGGACTGGTCCGGCCTTGCTATTATTATCATTATATATATATATATATGTGTGTCAGTATATATATATATATGTATCCCAAACCCTCAACCATATATATATATATATATATGTATATGTATATATGTATATTATACGTGATTCCACAACCCCTTTTGTGCACCATTTAGATATCATTCAGACAGAGTGCTACTCTAGGTAAACCCTGAATCGTGCACTTTCAGCCTCGAGGTGCCCATAGGTGCACGCGCGGAGCCTAAACTGTTCTTGGGTTTAGGTTTAGGGTTTAGGGCTTAGGGTTTAGGGTTTAGGGTTCAGGGCTTAGGGTTCAGGTTTAGGGTTTAGGGTTTAGGGATCACTGCTTGGGGTTTAGGGTTTAGTGTTCAGGGTTTCTGGCGTAGAGTATATTGGGTTTTTGCTGTGGGCTTTACGGTACGAACAACGCGAATACGAAAAGTGGGCAAAAAGCTGTTCAGCAACCTCAACCCTAAACCCCAAACCCTAAACCCTAAACCCTAAACCCTAAACCCCAAACCCAGTCTGGTCGCAAGGGGTTCTCCCCGTGGTTGTTGTCGAGCTCCAGGTTCGCTTGGGCCTCCAGGGTCTTAGTCGAGCATTCGCGTGGCCTAAACCCTAAACCCTAAACCCTAAACCCTAAACCCTAAACCCTAAACCCTAAACCCTAAACCCTAAACCCTAAACCCTAAACCCTAAACCCTAAACCCTAACCTAAACCCTAAACCCTAAACCCTAAACCCTAAACCCTATACCCTAAACCCTAAACCCTAAACCCTAAACCCTAAACCCGAATAAGAACAAAAAGGCGCGGTGCGGCCTGGAGTAGCAAGCGCACGACCTCCAGGTGGCCGTAGCTGGAGGCCAGGATCAGAGCTGTGCTGCCGAAAGAATCCCTCATGTCCTCTTGCATCGATCCCACGGCTTAGGGTTTAGGGTTTAGGGTTTAGGGTTTAGGGCTTAGGGCTTAGGGTTTAGGGTTACCGAAAAGGCTTTGTGCTCCACTATGCCCGATAATCAGGGATGACTTGAAAGCAACTCTAGGTGCAGATTGTGCCTTCTGTCCTTTGCAGCGCCATTCTGCAGAAGCAGCTGTACGATCTCAAGGTGACCTCGTTGAGACGCGCTGGTGAGAGCGGCCTTACCCCGACGGTCTCGGAGGTTCGCGTCCGCGGCAGCTTCCAGCAGCGCGCGCACGATCTCAACGTGATGTGCGTCGCTGTCGATGTCGACAGCTTCAACCAGAGCTAGCCGAGACTGCTCAGAGAATGGGTACAGCCCTCCCAGCTTGTTGTGCACATCGGCTGTCAGCAGGACCCGAACTGTATCAACGTGACCATGCCGGATCGCATCAAAGAGCTCGTCGTCAAGAACGGCTTCTCCGTGCAAAATGGGCTTCAACAGCAGCTGTACATCCACGGGTGCAGTCAGGGCTTCGGCGTCTTCCAAGATGCGGCCGTCGTGCAAGAGTTGCTGAAGGCGTGGCGGGAAGCCATGCAAGCGGCTTAGGCAGCCCTTCAACGTCCCCACGTCCCTCACCTGCTCCTGGGCCATGGAAGTCAGCTCTTGCCCAGAAACCCTCCAAACGCGAATCATCTTGGCGGCAGGCTGGTCAATGAGGTGAACTGCACAGGCCCAGACATGCTGCTATAAGCCAAGATGCCCCCCTAAGCATAGAAGCATAAGACCGTGCCCAAGCCCGGTAAACTTCTGAAACTTATTACAGAATGCCGCCCTTCATATCCAAGAAGATGCTGGGCGCTAGGCGTCAAAGGCCCGAGCAGCCCCGAAACCCTTACTCCCCCCAAGGCGCGAGAAGGCATGGAAGCACTACCGGCCCTCTGACCGCCACCAGGTCCCACAGACCTCCCCCAAAAGGGCGTTCAGGGTAGAGGTTTTAGGGTTTAGAGTTTAGGGTTTAGGGGTAGAGGGTTTAGGATTGGGGGCTAAACCCCAAGAGTCTGCGGTTGCCTAAAGTAGTATATAGGGACTCCTTTCGGGGGGAGGTTTGGGGGCCATATGATGCACACATCTCGGGTTTCCCCCCCCCCCCCCCCCCCCCCCCCCCCCCCCGCAGTTGGGGGGGTCCTTTTGGTAATATGGGCCCTGGAATTTCGTACTCCCCGTGACGCTCCGCAACTGAAACAAGGGCCAGGTCGGATCTGGCCAAAGCACTGACCCTGAATGCCCCCGAAGCCACTTCTAAAGCCTAAAAAAACGAAAGCCTAAACCATCGCTCCAATCAAAGAATCTAAACCCTAAACACAACAATTCCAATTCCTTTTGGGGGGGGTTTCCGAAATTCGGCGTACCTTCTTGGGGTCCTGTTTATTTGAGGGAATCCCACAATTCGGGGGTCTATATTAAGGGGTCCCGTGTTTTCGTAAACTCCCTTTTAAAGAGCCCTAATTAAGCTTCAAGGGCCACACCAGGAGTCCTCGGAGCTGTAGCCGGCACCCCCGCAAGACTGCCGCAATAAGACACACCGAGGCAGGATTTGAGGTTGTTTTGGAGAGCTTTCGGGTTTGGCGTTTTAGGGGCATGAAGCTAAGGGTTTTCGGGGTTTTTGCTGAGGGGTTTAGGGATGTAGGGGTCTCCAATCCCAATTCTAAATACTTAAACCGTATCCCTAACTCCCCACACCCCCCCCTGCCCCACAAAGGCGCACCACTCTTCGACTTGTCCATGTTTTCAAAGAACCGGCCCATGAGGTCGGCTGGTGCCGAGGGGAAGGTCCTCCCATCTTCGGTGTTGCCGGCTGAAGGGTTGTGGGGGCTGGGGAAACCGGGGGTCTGGGGTGCTTGGGATTTTGGGCTTATAGGGTTTGCACAGAGGTTTAAAGGGTTTAGGGGGTTTTAGGGCTTGGGGAGTGTAGGGTTCTTCGGATCTAGGTCGAGGCGAATGCGGTTTTCAAGTATGACCGAGTTAACAAAAAACCCACAACCTCTAAACCAGAAGTTTCGTAGGTTTACAATAGGCAGGGTTACATCAAATCACATGAGCCCTTTGTTAGGGTTCAACCCTACTCGAAGGTAGTTTCTAGACTCGGCTTAGCCTGCACAGCGGACTCACCATTTGGGGAGGCCCCTGTTGAGACGCTACGAAGGATGAGCCTTTCTGCCTTGATCGAGGTGAAGTGGCACGAGAAACGCAGCCGGCCCTTTTTTTGTAAAGTGTACAGAAGCCTCGAGGCCTGGTTCGGCTGTTGCTGCAAAGGCATTTAGAGTTTCAAGCAGAAAGCCACCGGGCTGCCAATGCATGCTGCGTCGAGTTGCGACCTGCATGAATAGGGTTTAGGGTTTAGGGTTTAGGGTTATATCTACGTGCTTCCTCAAGTGTGCAGCTGACGCGTGTGCGTGCGTGAGGCGGAAACGCACGAGCAAGACGGCATGCAAATGTTTAGGCAGTACCCTCCCAAAGGCAGCATGGCTTTGCAGGAACTTGAACAAAATCTATCGTTTAGGGTTTAGGGAGAATATTCCTGATTATGATCCTCTTCAAGCCAATAACGGGGCAAACAGCAAATGTCCCAAGGGCCTACCGAGAAATCTCCAAGCCCTGCCTCAGAAAGGCCGCGCGATCCACCACCCCAAACTGAGACGTGGAGGCCACCTTAGGCGGATGTCATAACCCTCAATAAGGACAAGACCTTAGTTCACCATAAGGGTTTAGGGGCCCAGGGGTTCAGCGTTTCAAGTGCTCTGGGGAATTCCTTAGGCTTCTGTACTTCAGCGAGCGTCGCTCTGCCTGCCAAGAAACCAGACCTCGAATGCTTGAGGTATCCACACAGTTCCGACCCCTAACAAAGCTGCAGCTCAGACTTTTTTGCTGCTCTCAGCCGTGCTTCCTCCCTACACTCTGAACCCTAAACCCTAAATCCTAAACCCTAAACCCAAAACCCTAGACCCTGAACCCTGTTCAAAAATCAAAAACCTGGAAGCCGTCCATCCGTCAATGACCAGCGCCTTCTGATTCCTGAACCGTACCCTAGAGCCCCAAGCCTCAACCATCCTCAACCCTAAACCCTAAACCCTAAACCCTAAACCCTAAACCCTAAACCCTAAACCCTAAACCCTAAACCCTAAACCCTAAACCCTAAACCCTAAACCCTAAACAGAATAGTTAAGCCGAATTTCGCCTGAAGCCCTAACACACCCCCCCCCCCCCAAACCTTGAAACCCAATGCCAAGCCATGTCGCAGACTGCCAGGCAACGCGCAGCTCCAGGCAGAGGTCCTGGCGTCAGGCTTCTAAGTATGGTTTAGGGTTTAGGGTTTAGGGTTTAGGGTTTAGGGGGGTTTAGGGGGGTTTAGGGTGGTTTAGGGTTTAGGGTTTAGGGTTTAGGGTTTAGGGTTTAGGGTTTAGGGTTTAGGGTTTAGGGTATGGTTCAGGGCTTAGTTTAGAGTTAAAGAAGGCCGCTTTTCCTCAGTGGCTTAGTTTAGAGTTCCAAGAAAGCGGTTTTTCTCAGAGGCTGAGTACCCCAAGGGAACGGAAGTGCTACAACCTTTCGCTGTTAAAGGAGTTTTGACTAATTACCGAACTGGCGAAAGGTTGCCCTAGAAACCTTAGAAACCCTTTTAGCCCTACATAATAAACCCAATCTGAAACCCTGCACCCTAAGCCCTAAAAACTAAACTGACTAAACTGACTAAACCCTATATATGATGCGGGTGCGGCCTGCCCCCCCCCCCCCCCCCCCCCCCCCCCCCCCCCCCCCCCCCCCCCCCCGTAGTGTGGTTGTGGGTTGGTTTTAGGGGTTAGGGTTTAGGGTTTAGGGTTTAGGGTGTAGGGTTTAGGGTGTAGGGTTTAGGGTTTTTTAGGGTTTTTAGGGTTTAGGGCTAGGGTTCCCGCCCCCCCCCCCCCCTTTGTGGTGTGGTTGTGGGTTGGTTTTAGGGTTTAGGGTTTTAGGGTTTAGGGTTTTAGGGTTGGTTTAGGGTTTGAGGGTTTAGGTTTTAGGGGGGTTGGGGGGTGGGTGGGTGGGTGGGGGGGGGGGGACCATACCATGGGGGGGGGGGGGGGGGGGGGGGGGTGGCGAACCGAGAGCCGGGATCAGATATACCCGAAACCCTGAACCGGATACGGGCTTGGTTGAGGTCTTGGGTTTCGGGTTCTCTACTCATTTGTTTCAGGACTTAAGACAGCAGTGCTGAAGGTTGTAATAGGGCTTCGGACTTAGGATTTAGGGTTTGGGAGTTAGGCCCCAACGTCTGGGGTTTAGGGCTTATGAGATAGGGCTGATCACAGCATACCCGTTGCTTAGGTTTAAGGAGCAGACCCCCCCCCCCCACAAAAAAAGAGGGCCCTTAACTTCCTAAAGCCCTAACCCCTAAACCCTAAACACCAAAGCCCTAGCGCCCTACCCGAAGCCCCAAGACACTGTTGGGGAAGGGCTGGAACAAAAAACAACAACAAGAGCCCTCATCCTGGGAACTCAACTCCCACTCATCCCCCCCCTATGCCTAGGGTTTAGGGCTTAGGATTTAGGGTTTAGGGTTCAGTGTTTCTTATAGGGCTTAGTAAAAATGCACTCATAACATCAGGAACGATAAGCATCAAACCATCAGACTGAATCACGCAAACTGCTTCGGGTGCTTGGGGAGTTTCACAGTCAGGTTTGGGGTTTAGGGTTTAGGGTTTAGGGTTTAGGGTTTAGGGTTTAGGGTTTAGGGTTTAGGGTTTAGGGTTTAGGGTTTAGGGTTTAGGGTTTAGGGTTTAGGGTTTAGGGTTTAGGGTTTAGCGCCCTGAAGGCTTGAACCCAACACCTCCGAAGCCTGAACATCAAGGCATTCGGGAGCAGGTAAGACTACCGAATGCAGGGGTCGGAAGAAGTAGTATTCCCTTATGGTTCCTATCTAAATGTACTATAGTAACCCCTCAAAACCCCAGTCGAATTTTAAGGTCCCTATAGTAAAACATAAACCAAAAAACCCTAAACCCTGTAATCCCTCAACCTCGTAAACGGCAAACCTTCTCAACGGTCCTTGTGGATGCCCACGCTGTCTCCCCAGTTTATCAGCTGCTTCATCTCATCCCGCTCCTTTAAAACGGAGGTTTCAGGCATGCGGGGAGGGGGGGGGGGGGCGGGCCAAAAACCCTAAACCCTAAACCCTAAACCCTAAACCCTAACCCTAAACCCTAAAACTTGAACCCTAAACCCTAAACCCTAAACCCCAATCCCAAGGGAGTTCTAGATTTAAGGTGTGAGAAGTGCGAGTTGCGGTGTTTGGTCGGTCATGGTTCACCCTCCCCCCCCCCCCCCCCCCCCCCGGCCCCGAGCACTATGCGCCGCATCTCAGACACGTGAAGGCTACATGGGCTTACCCGCCGTATCTGTACGACAAAAGAAGTAAACCATGGTAAACCTGCAAGGCGTTTTGCACATAGCAAGGCAGGCAACAAAAATCGTCGACGAGCCTTCCAGCAAGGAAGTCAGATCAAACCCTACGCCCTCCCTCAGCCTTCCAACGACCCTGGCCACTCACCCTAAACCCTAAACCCTAAGCCCTAAACCCCCCCAAAAAAAACCTAAACTCCTCAAAAAAGCTCGAAGCCAGCAAATTCCACACCCAATCACAGCAACTTCTTGAAGCCATGAGA